TCAGACCGACGAAGCCTCTTGGATGAGGGGCGAAACGTTTCTTTTTATCAAAAAAACGAAGTCCAGATGACATGATTCAACCTTTTTTGTTGTTATATACCTGGATGACTGAGAAAACAAACTTTGCGTACATCTAATGGTTACTTTTAGAGTTTCATTAAAATCTGTCCAGTGGTTCATGAGCTATTTTTCTAATATGGCTAAATATCCTTCTAGATTTGGAACTTCTTTCACCAGAAGACACAAAACAGACTTTTTATGTTACTGACTTTACAAAAAACCCAATAATTAGATAAATAAAAGATATTGTTTCAGCTCTGCATCATGTGTTTCATCTTTTCAATTATCTTACAGCCTACAGAGGCTCCGCTCCCCCACAAGCCCCCCAGGAAGCGTCACCCGAGCTTTGACCTCCAGGCTCTCTTGGCCCCCCGCAGAGGCACTGCCACCCCAAAGCCAGAGTCCCCCGTTGGCGGGCCGAGCCGTAACTCCCCCTTGTCCTGGCTGGGGCGGAAGACGTTAGCTGACCCGGTCATCACCACCAGCATGGCTGCAGCTATCCCTGGATGGGGTGGAGGAGGAGGTGGAGGAGTGTTGATTCGAGGAGTGGAGGTCAGCAGCAAAGAGGTAGTGGATCACACAGGGTCACCACGGCAACATGTCCTCCTCGGCAGGACTGAGAGGGACACAGGGACGGATAGGAATGGTTCATCTGCACAGAGGCACGTTATGTATCTAATTATTAGTTCAACTTCTCCATTTTTATTCACATTCCTTTGTCTTTTGCATAATAATTAATTGTATTTCCTTTTTTTATTTGATGTCTTCTGGTTCCCTTTCTCTCCCATGCTGACTGTCTAAACTCCAGTAAGTTGTACCTGCTCTGGTGTAGGATGCTGAGCTCGGAGAGACAGTATGTGACGATTCTCAAGGGGGTTGAAGAAACATACCTGCCTTTACTGGAGCTCTCGGACACACCGGTCTCCATCAGGGGAAAGGCAGACTCAATCTTCCCCATCTGGGCCAGCCTCAGCACCTTTCACGCTCAGAATCTGCTGCCTGCCATGGAGGGGGCTCTGGTGCAGAGCCTGCTGCAACAGGACTGCTTCAGCAAATATGTACGCTCAAAAACAGTTTGCTGGGAAAGGCTTTTACTTTACATGTTTGGCCTCTTTTGTAGCTATTATCCATGTAATTAGCGTTTTGTAAAACTTTAGGAACAAATTTACAGCTATAAGTGGAATAAAACCAGTAGAAACAAGCCAATGTGCTGCTGACTTAGCATTAGCTAACAACAGCTAAAGCTGTGGTCACAGCACTGACAGCACTGCCTCCCACAGACAAAAATAAATAAATCTATGGTCATATTTATAATAAATATGGTTCAGTAGAATGATTATGAACAACGAATTTCTTAGTTATTGCTGACAGCTCTTTTGGTGACCTCTGTTTGGAGAACAACTTCATTTCTGACAAGCTAACATTGATTGAAGACTCTTAAAAAACTTCATTTATTTATTTAAAAGGAAAGTCAGTGCACATTCATCAATTTTTCTGTATCACACAGCAATATAATATATTGTTATACACATATTATATTTGTTGCTCTAATTTTTTTCTGCTTATTTGTGCAAGTTTCCGCTTTTTCTGCTATTCCAGCTACTATTCAGCTGTTTTTACGCTAATTTTAGCTTTTTTGGCTAATAATTTTTGCACTTATTTAAACTTTTTTCAGCAAAAATGTTCCCTCTCTACTTATTGCTGGGAACTTAAGCTTCGTTCTGCTATTTTAGTTACTTTTCAGCTATTTTTGTTTTGCCAGTTTTAGCTTTTTTCAGATAATTTCCACTTTTTTGTGGTTTCTGCTTCTTTCATCCTAATTTGACAAAGATGTATTCTTTCTGCTTTCTTCAGCTAATTCAAACTTGTTCTATTTTCAGATAGCCTTTCAGCATTTTTTAGCTAATTTAAGTTGTTTTCAGATAGATTTGAGTTTCCCGTGTTAATTCCTGCTACTTACAGACTAATTAACTTATTTCTGCTAATTTCAGCTAGTTATACTCGTTTCAGCTTTTTTCAGTTAGTTTCAGCTTTTTCTGCTCTTTTTGCTACTATTTAGCTCTTTTGATGCTAGATTTAGCCTTTTCAGCCAATTCTACACTTCTTTAGTTCATTTCAGTTCTTTCTGTTTCCTTCTAGTAGTGTAAGCTTCTTCCTGCATTTTCAATTATTTTTCAGCTTTTTTTTTTTCCTGCTATTTTCAGCTATTTTTAGCTAATTTCCTATTTTTTGTGCTAACTTCTGCTTATTCACCTAACTCAGCAAAAATGTGTTCTTTCTGCTTTCTTTTGCTACTTTAGGCTTGTTCTTCCATTTCAGCTACATTTCAGGATGATTTTTAGATAATTTCAGCTGCTTTTCAGCAAGTTCGGCAATAAGCCTTCACACTGAATTTTCACAGGAAATGCAGTTTTTCTATTATATCAGTTGTTTATATTCTTTGGTTTTTTTTTTGGGGGGGGGGGGGGGGGGGGGGGGGGGTGCAGAGGTTAGAAGATGGGCCTGTGATCGGAAAATCACATGTTCAATTCCCGGTACCGTCAACATCAAATATGTGGGTGGAAAAGGTGGAACGCCCACACCTTCCTCCACCCTCATATGCCTCACTCTGGGCCCTTAAGCAAGGCCCTTAACCCCCACCATGTGCTCCCTAAACAGGTCTCCCTCGAAAATGAGTTCTCGTGGCTCAATGAGACTACCTGTATAAATAAAAGGTAAATGAAAAAAATAATAAATTCCACAAAATTTGTATTAAATTTTAAAAAAATGATATTTCATTAAACTAAGAGTAATAATTATATTTAGTTTTTGACACACTAGTTAAAATGAATCAATCCTGCTCCTCACAGTGCTAATAATCTTAGTAAGTTACAGTAAACCAAGAAAAAAATGACTTCTTCAACATCAAAAAACATTCAAGCCAAAAACAACTGGACTTTATTTGTAACAGAAGAAGTTTCACTTCTCATCCGAGGAGCTTTCTCAATTCAAAGATCAGAGCGTGTGGGGTTCAGGTTATAAAGCTGAGATAAGATACACATACATATGCAGATTGACATATCACACCTCACAGTAGGGGTTTGTTAAGGTTTTTGTTAATCTAATTCAGAGCTGAGGTCCCTCTGTTCCCATCAGGTGTGAAACTGGCTGGGAATCAGTCTTAAAGTTGCATTATAAGTTTTTGAAAGTTGAAATCTGAGGCCTCCTCCTCTGTTTAGAGACGGTTTTTCTCTTTTTACATCAATTGCTTCCTTCACCCCCCTCTCAAACCATCTGTGTTCTCGGTCCAAAATGTGCACATTTTGGTCCTCAAAAGAGTGTCCCTTATCTGTGAGGTGGAGGTGAACAGCTGAGTCTTGTCCAGAGGAGGTGGCTCTCCTGTGTTGAGCCATGCGTCTGTGAAGAGGCTGTTTGGGTTCTCAAATGTAGAGGTCTGGACAGTCCTCGCTGCACTGAATTGCATAAACCACACCACTCGGTTTGTGTATGGGTGTTTTGTCCTTAGGGTGGACCAGCCTCTGTCTGAGCCAGACAAAATTAATTTAATTAATTTAATTAAAATTAAATGGCATGGGTGTATAAAGTGTTTAGCTCATTATATAAAAGTAGAAATGTTTTTTTTTCAATGTACATACATTTTTATCTATTTTTATACTGTTAGCCGCCATCTCTTAAGTTTAATCTTTAATTTTTTATCCAAAGCGGGAGCAATTCCTCCAGTATTCCCAGTACATCAGGTTAAAACTAGAACTGGACTCTCCACTGGTCACACAGGCTGCTGACTTCTTTAAGGTAGGAACCCACATGTCTGTGGTGCTTTTAAAGCAAAGTATGTAAAATACATGTGTCCCCACTCAAGGTTTCAGTGACATATTTGCTTTTTACGTGGTTTTCTTGCCCATTTTCACAACGAGCTGTACGTCACTTTCTGTGAACCACACACTTATGAGTCTATTTTTTATTTTATTTTATTTACAAAATCTGTTCAATCTCAACACAAGACAATCTGTACATCTTTTTGTGAGCAGATCACAAGCAAAACCCAATTAAAGTAGCTTTATTTGTCGGTGGCAGCAATTAAAAACAAGCTGTGTACAATGAAACTAATTCCATGTTCAATAAACAACAAGAAAAGCCAATTAAATCCAGATTATAAGGGCTGTAATTTGAGCTCCCAAGCTACAATGAACTAAAACTAATCCATCGACAGCATGATGAGATTACCATGAGGACTTTACATGAAGAGATCAAAGGGCTTAAAGCGCCATCGAAATT